ATTGATGATTAGACATTTGAATAAAATGAGTGATATAAGATAAAGTACATTCAGAAATAATACTGGTGTTATCAGTCAGGTACAATCAGATGGGAAACAAGATGTTTTTATAGTAAAAATAAGTAACTTGTTAGAATGTTATAATGTATGTGAATTGAAATAGAATTTTAAGATTATTTATTATCCTCCTCTGATTTCACTGACTGACTGGTGGTAATAATATCTTCCATATCTCTGGTATTTGTGTTGAGTCATTTCTGTTGCATGTGTTGGGTGTGTAGACTCGATGAACCAGGATTCAGTAATCAATCTCTCTCTGTCTCCACCTACCTATATTACTTTTTAGAATTTTTACTCTGTCCCTCCCATCTTATAGTGTGATTGTGTTTTAATGCATGAAGTGCAATGTAGTGCTGAGCTGTCTTCTAAATTACTTCTCTTCGTAGGATCAATCATTACTCCTGATCTACTAGTCTGACCTATGTAGTTGACCTAACTCACAATCATTGCAAGGTATTTTGTAAATTATATTATATTGTTTAATTGGGTTCACATACGTTATAACATTCCAATAAGTTACTTATTTTGACTATAAAACACTTGGGTTATTTCCTATCTGATTGTATTTGATCAGTAACACTCATATTATTATTTCCGAATGTACTTTATCTTATATCACTCATTTTATTCAAATGTCTAATCATCAATTTCACTCATGTATATAAATGAAGTAAGAAAGTTGTGTAAGTGACTTGGTATGGCTATGAGCAATAATTTGTGCTCGAAGCGTGGTCACCAGTTAATATTACTGTACAACACTGTGTGATTTATCAAAATAAATTCTTATCTATAAGGACAGGTCAGGCTTACTGTTAGGGTTAGAAGAGCTACATAATTGTGTATGCATAAAATCCAAAACTGAGAGGCATTTTTCTCACACGTCGGAGAAACGTATCCTGTGTAACAGTTTCAGGCCTTTTAATTCTTCATTATTTTCATGAATATATTATGTATTTAATACGCAAAAATCGCCTCTATAATGTGGTTGGTATATTCAAAGTCATTTGTTCTTACTGGTACTTAAAGTTTAAAAGCACCAAAGACGATTTATTCCTCCTATGTAGAGCTAGAAATGATGCCAACAGTAATCAGTGTTTACATTTTAGTTTGTACGTTGATGGCACAGAGGTAGAATGCTCACCGACCACACGTCATGTGGTCCGGGGTTCGATTCCCAGCAGATGCACTCTTTTACTTCGCTAACTGCTGCTGCTGCTGCTGGATTCAACATAGAACTTGGCACCGAAGTGCAGCAGTTCGAGTTGCCACGTTCCAAAATAGCACACAAAGGTAGACAGGAATATGAGTGAAGAGAATCAATAGAATTTAGATAAGTATAAGAGTGAAACAGAATGAGTAATGGTAGAAAGGAATATGAAGGTTAAAGAGACTGAATACATGTGCGCCATTGACAACGATTTTGAGCCATGTCACCTATTGTCTCCAGCCATTGATTCTTAGAGTCCCGAGGGCCCCAACCCGGAAGTCTGCATCTCCCTACCTGACTCAGTTTAACTGTCAGGGATTTCATGGATTGATGCCATGTTTTTGTTTGGCCACCACTTACTCTTTTCCAACCTGCACCTATATCAGCTGGTAATGCCGTCGGGGGAGACGATGGTTAGGCATACGCAGCACGTGACCTAACCATCTCAATCTATGTAACTTTATAGCCTCTTCGAGTGATTTTCCCTCTCTGCCCAACACTCTACGCCTAACGTCAACATTACTCACCTTATTATACCACCTAACGCGAGAAAGAGATCGTAGACATCTATGATCAAAAACAGACAATCTCTTCATTTCTTCCGCTTTCAATGGCCACGTCTCACTACCATAGAGAAGGACGGGGCGAACTGATGAACAGTATACACGTCCCTTGGTTGATAGCCGAATGTCACGCCTACGCCAGAGACGGTGTAAGTTAGCGAAAGCAGCCCGAGCTTTCTGGATCCGTGCTGTGATTTCGTCACCAATCAATCCGTTGGCTAAACCAGTAATAGGACTGGTAAAGAGGGAAGGTTGGGCATGAGGCTAGCAGCAACCTCATCCCGTAAAAATAAACACCACTGCTACAGAAACTTCAAGATTCTAGCTTGAAGCCGCCCCGTGTTCCACTGGGACCTTAAAGGAATAAAAAAACACATTAGTTTGCATGTAAGCTAAAATGACAGGTGTTGAAGATGCATTAAACCTATGCAGTAAATGACAAAAACTCTAAAATAGGCAACTAGATTAGAACCTGAATGTCGCAAACACCAGTTTATGCTATTTCTAGTGTAGACGTGATATCCGGCTGGCTGGCTGGCTACCAAAGGGCTCAGAGGTCCGCTCTATCCTCCTTTGTGGCTGTAGGACCTGGTCATTGAGAGTGGAAGACTTGGAAAGACTGACTAGCTAGCTGTCTTTGATCACAGGTGCCTGCGTTCATTCTATCTCTCGTGTGAAGTGGTATAATAGGGTGAGCAATATTGAGGTTAGGGAGGGGAAATCGATAGTCAAGGCAGTGAAGTTACATCTTTTTGAGATGGTTAGGACATGTGTTACGCATGCTTGCCTAGCCATTGCCTTCTTCTACCGACGGGCAATGTTATCTGACATAGAAAACATCAGGTTGGAAAAGAGTTAGCCAGTGGTAGCCAAACCGAAATATGGCTTCATGAGTCAATGAAATCCACAACAGTCAGTTTAAGCCAGTCAAGTAGGAAGGTGTAGACTTCCTAACTGCCTGGTTGGGGTCCTTGGGACGGTGAACACCAATGGCTGGAGACAGTTGATGATATGGCTGGCTCAAAGTAATCGTTCTTGGTGATGGCTGATGCAGATGCATTCACTCATTGTGATTTGTAATTTCAAATAAAACCTCTATTGTTCTTCCATATTACTATTCTTTTTGCCTGATATCTCTGTTATGAATCTCGTTTTATGTTCTTCTTTTACTTTGTGTGCTAAGTAAAGTGTGACGACTCGAACTGGTGCTGTACATCGGTGCAAAGTTCTATGTTGAAACCAGTCAGTCAGTGTAGGTCACAGATAAGTGTGAAGAACATGATTCAGAGTTATACAGGACTATTAATTAGCAATTCTGGTAATGATCTTACAAAAGTTGAAGTATTACGACACCTTCTGAAGATTAAGATCTGTGAGAACAATATGCAGTATTTTCACCTTCAATCCATGCATCCAGAAGGACTGATGAAGATGAACGGTACTATATTCTTATGAGAGTGAAATTAAAGTATCATAGCCGAAGTCAACAGGTCTTTCGAATCTAACCTCAAAGAGCCAATCAGACACAAGGAATGCTATGAAATGTCACTCCAGATCAAATCATGTCCGCTTTTTCGATAGATAGAGACAGCAGTATTCTACTTATATACTAGGTACTTTTTCTGCAAATCTATACTGTTAGGTAAGGTTATGGGGTTTAAGATTACGGTTTAGGATCTAGGGTTAAAGCTAGGAGTTAAAATTATGGTTAGATTTAAGAGTAGGTTAAAGAATAGTGTCAGAAATATCAACAGATCTCAAAGTACCATGACCTACCTACCTGCAGTCACCTGAATAAATACGTATATCGCAAATGGTATGATTTCTCTGTAGATCATATGTGCAGTGACCGGGGGACATTCTTACAACACATAAGCTACACCTCTACAGTGAAAATCATCTTGGCAATATTATGTTAGTGTATTTTTCAACGATTATGGATTCTGATAGGTTGATTGGAAGATGTCAGCAAGTTACTATGCTTGTCAGCATGTCTTATATGGAACTTGGAGACAATCTGTCCTCAATTCTATTGAAGCCTGTTCTACACAGTATTGGTTGTTATGTGACGAAACATATATAAAGTCGACACATGCTTCAAAGACTTTGATTCTATAGTTAGTGTTGCTCATGCTTCTTTCTCATCAGAATTTGTCGTATTACAGAAACAATCACAGTAGAGTCTTAAGTTATCTCGTTTATTCCTCTAAGTTTCCCTGGAGTTAAACTTCAATAGTACATCACTCCCAGAGAATTCAAAGGATGCGACTAAAAAGGTAAGGTAAACTATCCACAACAAAAACCACAGTGAACTCGAGTAACCAATCAGAAACTCAGATGCCAACAAGCCGCATAATCGTTGAAAAATACACTAAAATAATATTGCCAACATGATATTACACTATATAGTTGTAGCTTGTGTTGTAAGAGAGTTTCTCAGTCACTTTACAGAAGATCTGTGGAGAAACTGTACCGGAAAGCCACGATTTAAAAACTACAGCACATTGTCGCGCTGCGGCTGCACGTAGTTTCACATCCCTATGGGCGATTCGCACTCCTGGAACCGACTGAAGCCCAAAAGAATTGGTGTCTGCATCCTCAACTGATTCATTTGTGAAGGATTCAGACAAGCACAGAAATTTACTAGAAAAGGATTAACATAGGCTCCAAGCCTTCTATCCTCAAACAATAAATATGAATATGAATCTGAAATCGTATAATGAGCGATAAATCCATTTATCCAGGTGACTTCAGGTAGTCCATGGTACTTTGAGGTCTACTGGTATTTCTGACACTATTCTTCAACCTACTTCTAACTCTAACCATAATCCTAACCCTAAATTTAATCCAAACCTAACCTAAATCTATAAAGCCGTAACCTTACCTAAGAGTATACATTTGCAGAAAAGGTACCTAGAAAAATAAGTAGAATGCTACTGTATTTATCCTCTCCAATTTCGAAAAGGTAAGCTTGATTTGATTTGGAATGACATTTCATAGCATTCACTGTATCTGATCGGTTCTTGAAGATGAACTTTTGAAAGACCTTTTGACTTTGGCCATGATCCTTTACTTCGCCATAATAAAATCATGAAAACTCCTCTTCATTGTCTGTCTACAAAAAAAGAAATTGCCTCATGCAACTGGTAATGACGAGGAAAATAGCTTACCTGATACAACGAAAAATTCGAAAGTTGGAAATCTTTTCTTGATGACAACATTGAGACGTACACAAGCAATGATAAGAGTGGCTAGAACATAACGCATGCACGTACGACGTATAAGGCGTGGACGATCAGCAGTACCCGGTAAATGCGCGACCAAAGTTACAGCGAATCTCACTACCCATGGTATAGTGGTGAAATAATTCCAAAAACGTTTGAAAACTAAAGACACATAGAAACCAAGAATGAATGCCACTGGAATCATAGCTTGTGATCTGCTTGTGAATAGAATCAAGCGTTCAAAACCTCTAAAAAAGAAAAATTTTTATGTCATTATGCAGTTTCAGGATGATTAGCAAACCTTTGAGTGCTTTCAGAAAAAGCATAACGATACATACAACTGATCGCTATATACAGGATAGCAAAAACAATAAGATCCAAAGAAATAAGCTTTATGACACCCCCTCTCCATCTAAAAACAAAAAATACTGCATTGATGAGAGACTGCAGTTTACTTCAATAAAAGCCTAAAAAACACTCCGTAGCCACCGGTTAGGACAAATTGACTGTACTGAACAGTCATCGTGTTATGTTGTCAGCAGGCACTTGAGGAAGTTACGTTAAATGATTCTGATCATACAAGTGGAGTAAGAAAGTAGCAACAAATCCTATGGAATGATATATCAACCAGTGAAGTTTACGCAAATTCAAACAATGCACCACTAAAATCGAAACGAGCAAGGTCGGCAAAAGTAGCAAATAAAAGAAGAAGTTGTTCAATAGAAAGGACTATGAAGGCAGTGCACCATAGTGACTTTTGGAATCAGAAATATGTTAGAGATTTCGCTGATCCTAATTCTTTAAAAAAGTCATTTAAACTACCCATAGTCCTTCACGGACGACTGTATATCGGATTTAGGTTCTGAAAATAAGGATAGTAGGCTCGTGTTGCCTATCTTAATCCTTGCGATATATATCTCTGCATAGATCTAATTTCCCCGCGAAAGCGTTCACCGATGGAGTTGTTACTAGTGAACCAGGTAAGGAGTTCCAGTCATTGATCATTCTATGAGAGAATCCACACGTATACCATTCGACCTTGGTTTGAGCACCTTCTAGTGGTGACCTCGTAAATGCATCCTAGAAGGAGAGAAAAGGTTTGAAATGTCAATCCCTAAGTCACCCTTTAATATATGGTATTCCAAAATTAAGTCGCCTCTCCTCCTTCGGTATGATAATGGAAAGAGATTTAAATGCTCCATCCTCTTATCGTAAGGAAGGTGTGAGATACTACTAACTAATTTCGTTCCTACCCTCTGTATTCTTTCCAGGACCCACCGCTTGTATGCAGTATTCTAGATGAGGTCTGACATGTTGCATGGAGTACTTGGAACATATATTCGTCCAATCATTTGAAAGCACTTCGAAGTGCCCCTGGCATTCTATGAGTCTAAGCTGCAGCTCCAGTATAATATGCTGTTGTTTTTAAGTCGTGGCTTACAATAGTTCCTAAGTCCTTTTGTCCCTTAGCATCTGGCATTTCTGTGTCCCTTAGGGAGTACGACGTGTAAGACCTCTGACCGAGGTACATCGCCGTGCTTTTCTTGGAATTAATTTCCAGACTCTGGAGGTTAGCCCATTCAGCTGATTTTTGTAGATCGTTTTGTGGTGCCAACTTATCATCGTTATTATTTAAGGTTTTCCATATCTCAATATAGTCTGCAAATAATAAGGAATATGAGCTGAGAATTTTTGGCACTTCACTTAAGTATAATAGGAATACCAGGGGGCCAACTTCAATTCCCTGTGGTACTCCACCTAGTACTGATTTCTGTCCTGACAGTACACCATTAACCCTTACCTTCTGCCTTCTATCCATCATATAGTTTCTAAACCATTCACATAAGCGTTGGTCTAATCCGAAACGTTTAAGTTTACTGAGAAGACCTAAATGGGATACCTTATCTATTGTTTTACTAAGGGTCGATGATATGGCATATCCCCTATTTGAAGTGGCGCCTTCAGCTTAAACTTGACGGTATTTGCGTGGCTTAGATGAGTTGGGGCTAGTCGTCGAGGCAAAGGCAGCCGACGTGATTTTGGTACTTACTTTGCTCTTGGTGGATGAATTTATATAGAAATTGTTGTTCGATATTGTTCTTAAGCATTTACGTATTGCTTTTGCGGCAGGACGCTTAAATATATGGTTCATGCAATGATTATTTTGTATGCCGAGTATGCATTTCGTTGACTGTCTGTCGACAAACGTCTTTGCAGCTTGCTGGCAACCTGCATTCGGTCGTAAATTTCCCGATAAGCCGTTGTTCAGTACCTATTTCTCTTGCCGGAACCGAAGAACTCGTGTATGCTTCTGCACTTTAATGTGATTATTATTATTATATCATTACTGTTTCCTTTAATTCCTAGAGGAGCATAGGGCTTCAGCCATGCGTCTCCATTGCGTTCGGTTCTCTGCTAGAGTCTTCACCTGGTTCCAAGTCTGCCCACACGCTTTCATCTCCTCCTACAAGTCACCCTCACACTGACGACCAACTCGCCGCTTTCCTTTCGGGTTCCACTCGAGCGATGGCTTATTTACTGATGTCACTTGATGGTTTGTTTCCTCAGAGTATGGCCAATCCATCTCCATTTCTTCCTGCCTATTTGTTTCACAATCGGTTCCTGCTGTGTTGGTTCGCTCCCAGAGATCCCTGTTGCTGATCTTTTCTGGCTGGCCATTTGATTTCGAGTAGTATTGAGCGAAGACAATTGTTAATGAAGGTCTGCAGTTTATTTGGGGTGCTATTCATGACGCGCCAAGTCTCTGATCCGTAAAGTAGCCCTGACTTCACATTGGCGTTGAAAATCCGGATCTTATTTTTGATGCTGAGTGCTGTCGACCTCCATGCAAGCTTGAGAGTAGTGAAACCTTGTCTTGCTTTTCCGATTCTCACTTTGATATCCTCGTCAGTTCCGCCAGTACTTGAGACGATGCTTCCCAGGTAGGTAAAGGAGGTTGTTTCTTTCCGGTTCCTCCCGTTTATGCTGATTGTTGTCTGTTGTTGTTGTTGCTGTGGCTGTTGGTGTTGCCCAGGAATCTTCATCACCCCTGTTTTCTCTATGTTCACCTGAAGTCCTATCCTTGATGCTTCTTCTGCCAACTTGTTGCTTTTCGCTTGCATATCTTTCAGTTTGTGGGAAATCAGATATATGTCATCATCGAAATCCAGATCCTCCAAGTATTTTATGCGGTTCCATTTTATGCCTGCCTCCTCGCTGCCCATCAATGCCTGTCACATTATCCAGTCTACCGCAATCAGGAAAATCATTGACGATAGTAGGCCTCCAGCCAGTCTTGTCTTACTCCCGTCTTCACTCCGAAGGATTCTGTGAGTTTCCTGTTGTGGATTACTTGGCACGCAGCATTATCGTGCAGCTGTTGAATGAGATGTATAATTGTCGGCGGCACCCCATAGTAGCGAAGTAGTTGCCAAATCACCTCTCGATCGACGCTGTCGAAGGCCTTTTCAAAGTCGATGAAGTTGAGATAGAGAGGTGACCGCCATTCCAAACTTTGTTCAATGATGATCCGTAATGTGGCGATTTGATCAATACATGACTTGTTTCTCCTGAATCCAGCCTGTTCCAGTCGAAGTTTTTCATCCAAGGCTTGTTTGATTCTCTCCAGGATGATGCGGCTTGGTATTTTGCTTGAGGTGGACAGGAGCATAATTCCGCACCAGTTCTTGCATTGACTTAAGTCTCGTTTCTATGGTAGTTTGAATAAGTATCCTTTCTTCCAATCCTCGGGTACTTTGCCTTCTTTTCACACCTTCTCCAGTAGTGGCGTCATCAAGTCCGCTGTTGTCTCTGGGTCCATTTTCAATGCTTCTGCTGGGATTCCATCTGGTTCTGCTGCTTTTCCAGCTTTTAGCATTTTGATTGCCTTCAGGACTTCTTTTCTCGTTGGGGAGTTGGTGTTCACTAGTAGTTCTGTTTCCGTTGTTGGTATAATTGGGCGCGTTGTAGGTGGCGGTCGATTTAGATGTCTTTTGGGCAAAGTGAAACTTTCGACACCAATAACAACCATTCAGTAAACGACCTTGAACGGACCAATCACATGAAAGAGGCGTTTATGATAAATGGAAGCGTATATTTATAAAAACAAAATTCATAAAAAAGGATAAAACGGTACAATGGGTATCTTTCCTGAACATGGGACAAGAACATCTCCCAATTCCGCACCACATTCTGTACATATATTCGTCTAAATGACTATAAATCAGATCCTTTTGCGATCTATTTATAGCCCGGATCCTTTTTTTCAATCTACCCCAAAATCCTTCAATGGAATTCGTATGAGTCCCTGGATCCACGAAATCATTTGAGTGGTTCACTCTGTGATGAATGTAACCCAGGGATGACAAGGAATCATAACCTTTTCACTCCTCGGTATGCACAATTGATCCCCTTTTGACAAGTCGAGTTATAATAGGTATCAGAGTGCTCGCCTTCCTGTCTCCTATTCTTTCAACAAATCCTTTTTGGAGGGACGTGTCGTATAAACCTATTACCCAAATGTTGTTTGCTCTCTGACGACCACGGTTATATTTCTTCTTCACCAAAACTGTCTCATCCACATGCACTACTACGTCCTCCCCGCCTAACAGCGAAGTAATTCTCTCCATTTTCCATGAGGCGGTCTCTACAATGCTGCTACCATTGGAATGTTGAGACGAGGCTATTCTCCGTCTCCGCAGCTCCCGCCTTCACTGGATGCTTCAGTACCCAATAGTTGCAGATATACAAAATCTGGGTTAGAGAGATACGACCTAGCAAAAAAAGTTCCTACGAAATATTAAAATTAGCAGCTTACACTCTCTAATACTAACTCGTTTCCAACATATTCCACAAAGATGGACAAGTCCATCAGCCGACCTCGAATAGCTTCTCAGAGCCATTACACCACCACAGGAACACCTCTCCTTTCTTAGCAAGCCTAAGTATAGGCAATACTGAAAGACACTATCCTCCTCGAACTGCAAACGTAACCTTGTAAGGGCAGGCATTGTAAATGGAATCGTGTGGACCCGCGCTCCTTGAATACGAAGTGCTTTTACCTCTCTAACCGGAAAATACCTATTTTGTGAATTTTCCGCTTGGGAAACCTGATCTTCCTAGCCAGTGAATTCAATTCAACCATTACTTACATATTGAATCTCTGTGTGATAAGTCCAGCTGTCTTGAACTACTGCCAAAGCTTCGGGTGCTATTTTTGTAGCAGCATCTTCCTCGCTCGTTCAGATAAAGAAGACTTGTTGGTCTACCACGTGATTGCTATGAAGCCGATCATCCAGAAAGTACTAGGTAAAGTCGAAAACCTTTTCTTTTCCTTGTCTTGTACTTTTTCAGTCTTATTCTTGTTCTTGTGGGTAGATACTGTTGCACTCTTATTCTTATATAGCATACGTTTTAGTGATTGTTAACATGGCTGTCGGAAGTAACCTTAGAAATGGCACCAAAACACCTTACTCTGTAGTCACAAGGGCTTCAGCCAGAGAAGTCAAAAACCCAGGGACATCA